ACAACAAATAATACCTAATACATTATACTCCACCATATTATAATAGGTATGAGTATTATTTATTATTATTTCTGTGACCGACCGGCTATATGTGTGCATATAACACAATGCAGTCGCCGTTGCAGTACATAATAAAGTGGCGCGGTCGTGTGACCGCCGCCGGCAGACGCATTTATTATAATCGTATATAATATATTATTATTATGATTATAAATTATAATGCTCGCGAGATGCCCCTAACGAGTAACGAGCGACGTCGTCGTCGTAGGACGTGAAAGTCAATTATTATTATTATTATTATTATTATTATTATATTACTATTATCGTCGCGTCGACCGCAGAGTGCAGCAACCACAATATAATAATATCATGCACGTCGTCGTCGCAGTCGAAATGATAAATGCGCCAACACTGCCTAGGAATAGGTATTATAATAATATCCGTAACAATCCATACTATACACAGAACATGTTGTAATATTATAGAAACGTTATCCGCACACCGTATAGTTCGTGTAATCAAATTAGATTATAATATTATCGCACCGCCAATACGTAGGTGGTAGGTAAAATATTGTTCAATAGTATTTGTATTTATTATTACTATTACTAGTATCACTATGGAACGAGTCTTTCTCCTATCAAACACATATTAATATCATATTGTATTGTTTCGCCGCGGGTGACAAACAATACGTTTGGACAGAGCTCGATTTACGAAAACGAAATAAAAATATACAAAATATAATATTATTCAAATGGTCATAATTTATTATTATAACTACCTGTAGCGTTTTCCGTGGCCCGGCAGACGGTGCGGCATCATCTTGGTTATCGGAGTTAAAATATTACACCTTTTCTGCAACGACGCGCGTTCGCCGTCTAATCGATAATAATCCTGTCAGCAACCAGCCGTTCCTGAGCTTGCTTTTAAAAATATATGATATCGACGATTTCTAATCTTTGCAGTTTGAATCGGCGTACAAATAAGTCTGTTTCTATTGAAACGATTCGAAAGAAATGTTTAGTGGCCTATTATAGTCTATACCTATATAGAAGTAATTTCATTTAATTCGTTGCAATTAACTTTAGAAAATCTACTGTAAAGACCACAAATCTAAACATTTGGTGTAAAAATGACTGCACACTCTTAACTCGCCCTATCCGGCTGGCGACACTGAATCTTTCTCAAATTTTGACTTCTGAGTGAATTTCCTACGATTACATTGTTTTGAAGAGTTAAGTCCCTACTTATTAAGTTACATGTAGCACAACGCTCTAACGTTGGAATTCCATTCTAAATATTATTTTGATGATATTGTTTTTCGATTTTCTCAATAAAAGTTTCATTATTGCCTTGAGCCAAAAGAAAAAGAAAATTTCTGTTGACTGTGTTAAAAAACATGTAGGCAAGCGTGGTCTTCAAGAATAATTGTGAATGGATAATTATAAGCTACGGTTAAACGAACACTGCTTAAAATAATATTTTTTAACCCGATTATTTATCATGGATTTCAAACTTGATATCGCAATGACGCAATGAGCCAACATATAATATTCCAAATTGAGTGAAGCGATTTTTCCAACACCCTGTCCAGATTTTTTTTTGTTACCTACATCATAGTGAATAATTAATGTCGTCTGCGTACGGATGACAATATGTCAATTCCACGATGCCGATCATAATTTCATTAATCGTCGTTAACAAGGTATTGACTCAAACAGATATTCACACACATACACACATGCAAATACATACATACATATACATACATGTACATACATATACATACCATACGTCATACATACATAGTACAACATACATACATGTATACATGATACATAAAAATTACATATATACACATTGTATTACTATACATAATCATTTTTTATACTCCAGTTTCAATTTTTTTCTCTATCCAACGGTTATAATATACTTTTTACAATACCTCCATTTCACACATTGATATAATATATGGCATGTACCGTTAATCTTTGGAAGCAAAACAAAGGTGTCCACATTGTCACCTGTCATCATAAGGCATATAATAAATAATAATGGTGTTTGATCGGCAGGGGGGAGGGGGCGTGAATTGTTTGCAGAACCTATTTGTTGGGGAAAAAATAAAATGTTGGGTGTAATGTTATATTATTTTTGTTACAACTTATAACAAAGGTAATTTTTTTTTGGTTCCGTTATACTCAATACGTTTTGTAACATCGTCTTTTACTTTTCAATTGACCAGAGTTTACCTGTACTCCGTGGGACACAGGTACTAAATTAGTGTGTGGTATAATAAATGTTTTTATGTTTCCAAAAAAATAAAATAAATGCATTTGCTTAACGGGACAGTTTCATTGACGTACAGAGGTACCTGTAGCATAATTTATACTTAGAAGTCAAATGGCGAAAACGTTTTCAAAATTCAATATGCATTATAAACCCCTTGGCCCTTGGAAAATAAAAACATTACTCTCCCCCAAGTATTTCATTAAATAATTAAAGTGCTTTCAAATTGACATTTATTGATGGCAGAGTTTTAAACATTGACATGTTTTCCAATGCTTGCCTGCGGTTATACGTCAATTACTGCTGACATGGGTTAACCTGTAGTGCATTCACATCTGGACTCCTCCATCAGTGATGATTTTGTTGGCTTAAAGGTTGTGAAATATGCCCGAAAAGTAACACAAAGGCTAATAATTTGCCTTCTCTTTTATATACCTACACAATACCGTTTCACATACTCGTATTTATGTGCCTTTTTCCTTCACTTGACTGTGGTTTATTAAATACTTTAAGCCATATATTTTTTTAATATCAACTTACATTTAATATAAGTATAATACAATTAACGACCTTCCTCAATATAAAACATAAAAATATACCTATGTTGTACTGCCATTATATTAATATTTATTTAAATATTAAACAGTTAAACGTAATAGTGATTATTAGTCATCATGGTTTTTTTTTAAACTTTTTTTTAAAATTAAAAATGAATAACTATTAAATCATTTGATCAATCGTAATATAGGAATCGTTCTGAACGAAATTATGCTTATCCTGAATTGGCCAAGACTTTGTTTAGTAATTTTTTTTTGAGCTTTTTTACTGCAGTTTTTTGTGATGATATCAAACACTTAATTCTACAAAACAACCAATGCTATAGCTTATAAACCGTATGATATACGATCTAAGGGGCCATAGTTTGAAAATCTTATTTCCAAGACTCGTGTAAGTACTAATGTACAATTGATAATTGCGTGTGCTAAAAACCACAAAGTTGTATAGTTAAAAGTTTGCTCTATCGTTCTACCCAACAGCCTCTAAACTTGTAAGTAATAACTGGCAACTAATAACGAAATCAATATATTTGAATCTTATACGTATATAATTAACCAATATATATATATATATTTTTATTGACTATGGATTCATATGAATTTGATGAATGCACCTAAGCAGATAATAGAATATACTGTATATGTAGGTATACAATAATATTTTGGAATAATAAACGTCTTAAAATGCAATGTAAAATGTCTTGCTTTTATTCTCACATTTAGACGGGTACTTGTCATTGTTATATAATATTACATTATAATATATTCCTATAGCAATAATTTCTTCATGTGGAGTATCGTGTGACTTTTACAGTTTTGCTTATATTATAGTGGTAGACGTTAAGTAAGAAAACAAGTGGGTATACCTACTAGTAGGTATATATAATTATAATAAAAATATAATTTCGTGTTGCTTACGCCAGAAAAAAAAATTGGGCTTAGTGACACGTAGTGGCACATGTCCACAGGAACCGACTTCGTGACGGCCGCCTTATTGCTGTCAGCGGAGATTGCCACCGTCGACCATTCTCGTAAGAGGAGCGCATCTGCTGCTGTCAACGAGCGCCTTGGGTGGTACTGCCGCCTACTTGACGTGTGCCGATGGACTCTAACAGATCGAGAGAGGGAAAGAGAGAGTGAAAAAAAAGAGAGGGTGTGAGAGAGGGTGACTCAAACAATATTTGATGAACATTCGTCTCTTCGCCTCACCTATCGCCGATGTGTTGTATTTATCTACGTCAAGAATGCTATTGCCTATAATTTATTAGTCATTTATTAATTAATATTACCGGCACAGATCAAAGGTTCAGTAATTATTTTTCATATGATAATTAAACATAATATTATACTATTATTTATTTGAAAATCTTTTGCCAGGTTGTATTATATTACACACTTTACCACTATTATTACTATGGTACAACTGGCGTGGACTACGGTCTAGAAATTACTATTTTGACAGGTATAGGTACATTCATACGAATAAGTTATTACGAATTCATTAGTAAAATGTTCAGAGTATATAGTCAAAACGGCGATAAATTTTTATAACCTACTAAAAATTATAAAAGTAACGTGATTAAAGAAAAATCAAAAATTCAATTACATTTTTTCCTCGTTCGCCAATTATCTATGTTGTGTCATGTTATAATTCTATTATAATTAATAATAATTATTATCTGTTAAGAATTTCTATAAAATAATAATAATGGACTCCTAGGTTATCTGCTCTATAAATTGTATGTACGAAATAAACTAATGATATTGTTCTTTATTTATAATGGCTATATATAAGATAATGTACCTATTATAATATTATACTAATTACTTGAAATATATCATATTATTTAAAGCATAATAAACCAGCAGCTACATAATTAATATCGTTATTAACCTATTAACGCCGTCGTAAGATTATGTAACTCGTGCTTTCACCGCGTATGTATTATTGACTATGAGCGATAAAATAAAACACAGGTCAGTAGTCGAAAATTTAATCGAAAATATGGGAAAATATAACGTTTTAAACGTCGGTACGGTAAGTACAATAGTTATCGGGCAGTCAAAAATATTGTACCAGGCAAGGCCTCGCCGGAGCGCGCGTCGGTCGAGTGTTTGAAAATACGTCTTGTCCTCTCGTCCGTGTACCGGCGCTCCCGTCCGCACAGGCGTTCAGCAGTTCCCGTCTGACGTTCTTACCGTTCGCACTCTGTTCGTCGTGTTTGTGCTGTGTGATTTATTATTATTATTATTTTTTTTTTTTGTGATCGCCCGAAGTGTTTTGAATATTCAACTTTCCGTCACGCCTTATAACAATAATACTGCATTTTTTTATTTTTATTATTAATTGAAAGAAGAAAACGTTTGTTGGTTTTTTTTCTTATCCGAGTACGACGTTTCGGTTCGAAGTGTGTTTCAACCGTTTGGCCGTTTACTATGGCAATCATGGACTCGAATCCGGAGAGCAATCAGTACCAGTATATTCAAGACACTTCTTTAGCTTCGGTAAATAACAATTATTAGCTGTTATATTATTATCTAATTGTATTGTCTGAGCACAGAATTTTTTTTTTTTTTAACTCAATTGAATTTTGTATTTTTAACGATTAAGAAAATACAATTATGTTGGGTAACCGACGTCAAAATGCTCTAATATTTGTTGACAATCGTTGAAAGCTGTATTATTCCCGATAAAATCGACCGAACTCGGTAAAAGCGATAAAATGATAATATATCCAAAATACAATCATAATAATAGGTATAAACTGTATAGGAGTATTACTAGATTGTTAATTTTTTATGATAAACATGAACCAATATTTATAGATTGCAATTTAAATCATAAATATACCTTTATAGCTTCGTCTTTATTTGTTTTCTTAACAACAATAAATCATTTTAGAGTGTTCAAATAAAATATAAAAAACAACTATTAAAATGAAAATTTCAAATAAATTGATGTGAAAACTACATTTAGCTTTTTAATTGCGTGTTAAATATAATATATCATTTTACACTTTAGAGCAGTTAATTATTGTGAAAGAAAAATCAGTTTTATGCACCTACCGATGTCCCATACATAGTCTATTATACAGATTAATAAATTACTAATTAGATCTCTCGTGTAAACACGTACAGTGTTTACACTAATGAGTTGCACAGGCACGTAATACAATAGGTTCATAACTATAAAATAATAGGTAACATGACTTAACGGAGATAAGCTATAATAATATTTATTAAGCTCATCGATTTCACGTGATGTGATGTGATTTATTTTTTTCGTTCCGAGACTTAGCCTTGTCAATCAATTCGGAGAAGGGCAATTTGCCATCAGCAACGTTTGCCTTATCCAATTTTTTTATTGATCAAACTCATCCTCATCGATAAAATGACATGATATTATCTAAAAAAGGTTTTCTATTAATAGAATTGTTTGCATTTCTAACATATTGTGAGCTAACGGCATCAGCAACGTTGACAGCCACGGGTATTGTACATAACATACCACATTTGTTTACACGTCACCGAACATCATAATACATTAATTAGCCTCTTCGGTAAATTTATTACAATTAGAGACGTGTCAAATTCGTAAATAATGTATAATCATGATCGATCGGGTTCGAATACTGTTTGCTATATAATATTATAATAATATTATAAAATATGCAACTATATTCTAATTACCCATTATTATTTCAAGGTTGCAAACATTCAGTTGTATAATTATCATAGTTGTCTCCGTTTTCTCCCTCGACTGCCGTTACGGTTATTGTGCTTATTACCGCGATCAACCCCCCCGTAACCGTTGACCGCAGTACGTATAATGCAATCTGCTGCACGGTTAGCCATCCTCCCCTGAAAAACCTCAACATTCAAATTTCCAGGGCGTACAATAGTTATTCGCCCTAATACTTGATACAAAACGCATGACCTGTTGCTCACTTAACGATACTAACTGTATTCTTTCTTTTGTGTGTTACAGTTGGACTCCAAGACGAGCCCACTTGCCATGTTGGTGAGGACCTGCAGTCAAATCGGCGCCGATCCACCGATGGCGGCCACCGCTAAGTCGAAAAAACCCGCCGCCGCCGCCGCCCCTGTTTCGGCTATAGCCTCCGCCGCCGACCGGCCACACAGCGCGTCACCGGCCTCCGCGGCCGTGGCATACTTGGGCCACGGCGCCGCTAAGCACCATCGGACTAACATCAACAACAATTACATGGAGGAGACTCCCAAACCGGCAAAGTTAAACTTTAAACCGTACGAGAACACCGTGTCGACACCGTCACCGCATCACCATCTGCAGCACGCCGTACATCACCAACATCATCACCCTTCGCCCTACGGTCTGCATCAGCTGCATTCCAACCATCACAGTAGCAATAACAATAACAACAACAACGACGACGAAAGTCGGCCAAAGAGCAGTAGCTCGGAAGAAAATGGCAACAGTGCGAGCCACGGCAAGAAGCGCAAGTCCGCTTCGCCACGTGACGAATATGGTGGCACGCACCACAAGAGCAGCCGTCGGTCGTCATCTTCGGCTTCTTCGTCTGAAACCGCGGCAGCCGCATCCACCGCCTCCACAGCCACCGACCCGTCCACTAACCCCATCATACGGTCCGGTCTGGAAGTGATGCACGGCGCCACGGCCAAAGCGTTCTGCCCACCGCCACCGATGCCCGCCCACTCGCCGTACAAACCGCATGACCCGCTGGCCGCCTTCCGTCACACGTACCTACCCGGCGCCCCGTGGATGCCGGCTGCCGTCTCTCTGGCCGCGGCCGCAGCGGGCAAGGCGTCTCCGTCGTCCGACTGCAAGGACCCTATGTGCGGCGGCTCAGCCTCCGGTTGTGGCCAGCAGCAGCAGCATGCGGCTGCCGCGGCCGCGCTGGCGTTCGCCACCCAGTACCATCCGATGATGGCCGCGGCCGGCGCTTGTCCAGCCGGTTGCGTGCAGTGCGACCACCAGCGATACCTGTCCTCGCTGATGGCCGCCGCGTCCGTACCCGCGTTCTACGCACCTGTGGCCCGCCCGTACACGTGCAGCTGGGTGATTCCCGGCGGCCACATGCAGTCGTCGTCGCCGGCCGCCGCCACCGAAGCGGCCACCGGGGCCTCGCTGTGCGGCAAGAGCTTCAGCACGTCCGACGAACTGTTGCAGCACATCCGCACGCACACGTCTGCCGGCGGTAGCGCCGTCTCCGCGGCCGCTTGCATGGCCGCCGGCGCCGCGGGTCCGATGTCGCCCACCACGGCGGCCGCGTTCTCCGCCTACAATAGCCACCTGTCCCGGCACTTGTTCCATCACCCGTCCGCGGCCTCAGCTTACGGCAAACCGCCATCCATGATGCCGCCATCGCCGTACAGCGCGTTCAACCCGACGGCCGCGTACTGCTACCCGCCGCCGTCCGCGGCCGCAGCAGCCGCCGCGGCGTACCATCACCATCACCAGCAGCAGCAACAGCATCTGTACTCGCCCCGCGGCGACACGTCTGCCGCCACCGTCAGCCGTTAACGTCAGCAACGTTTGCACAACAATTTATTTTTATTTTTACATCATCGATATATAGTGACACTGTGATAGCCGCTTATATTGTATATTATTATTATTAATCGTCTGGCATACCGATCGGCAAATATCGATAAATGTGCGACACGACGTTTTTCTCACTCACTCTCTCTCTCTCTCTCTCTCCCTCAATATCCGAACGACACTTTAATGTAATTCGTTTTGTTATATTATTATTACTACCATTATCAATTACAATCATCATCCTCGTATGACGGGTATGCTTGGTAGGTACCTACCTACCTATACTATACTTACAATTCGTCTTTTTTTGCCCACCCGCGGGGGGGGGGGGACTCGAGAGCGATACACGGTTTGTGTGTGTGCGCGGGTGTATGTATATTATAAAAATGTGATGTATTTTATTTAATTTATTATTTCGTGTAATTATTATTATCATATAATGTGACCCTCCTCGGTCTTGCAGGATACGATATAATGATTTTTTTTTTATTATTATTATTGTGTTTTTTTTTTCAAAATTTTTTTTCGTTAATTATTGTAGACGCGTCGCATGCAATGCCACCGCACCAACACTATAATACTACTCTATTGATTTACGAGTTATTTATTAGTAATACTCTCTCGTTTTTATTTTTTTCATTTTATTACGACCTCGTTGTTATTTTAATTTAATACTGACGGCGTGTGTGATTTATCGTCGTCGTCGACGTTTTATATTATACACACCATGATATATTATTATGTATTACATTAGATTATTATTATTATTATTATTATTATTATTATTTACCTACTGGTGTACAAAATAAAATTTGTGTCAAAAATAAATGATAAACTAAAACGTTATTCGTTGGGTTTTTGTTTCAATAATCATGATACACCTATATTCTGTTTCCTATCCGTTTATTGCCGTTTTGCAGTGTTCATCGCACGCTATATCCTGCGGCAACACTTAAACAGTGTACGAGTATAATATTATGAAATTATCATTTATATCAGTGTCGTATACTATACCTTATTAAACTAATAAAGTGCATAATACGTAGTTGATAACTGTGTAGACGGTAGGGAAGCTCAATTTTACCAATTGGTCTGTTACTTTATATTGTTGCAATCACAAACAATATTCCATTATATTAAGATTCATAGTATTAATATGGTGATAAATAAGAAGTATTTTACTTATAATTTACAAGGTATCAACAATGTAAAAATCTGCATTATAATAAACCATGTAGGCTATGCTGTCATATTTTTGTAAGGTTTGTGGCTTATTGCCTGAACATGAAAACATTATGATTTTTTATTTTTCTCACACTTAAGAAGACGTCTGTGATTTACAATTCATATGAAACATGTCAAATATTATGAGCTCAGCAGAACCAATATTTATGAGGTTATAGCTTGAATATTAGAGTGAATTGACTTATAAAATAATCAAACCTAAAGGTAAGGACATTGTCCGTGCTCGAGCGTTGGATTTTTTCGATATTTTAGTATTCAAGCAAGATATACACGTATCTAGTTACTGGTATCTGTAACATATAACAACGTACACTGTAGTCTAACGTGAAAATCAAAAAGTTATTGAATCCGATAAAGTGTTGAAAATTAATATAACCATTGTCGTTATATTATGTTGTGCCGGGCCGGAAAACGTTGCACTTAAAAAATCCAAATATTAAATACCACACAACAATACATATAATCCATTAAATAACGCCTGTTAGACGCGTCCGTTATAGCGTACCGCGCACATTACAATATAATATATTATTATTATTATTATTATTATTATTGTTATCGGAACGAACTGTGTTTTCGGACGAGGACGGGCGTCGGACGGGCGCCTACAATTATTATTGCCGGAATCACCTTTGGCGCCTCCGCGTGTGGCTAATTGCTGGTCGGCCGGCCGTCAGTATTTTTCACACAAGCGCCGCCGTCACGCCGGTCGAGCCAACACTGTTCGGTGCAGCCAGTCGACCGGGGCAGGGCACCGGTTTGTGGCCCGCCGTATTATAATTATACAGGTATATCGGGTAATCGTCCATCTACCGCACTTTCGATATTGTAGGTATATAGTGGTTTTGGTATTTATGCTTAGGTTTTTTCAGTACGCTATCCACCGAAATCCGAATACATAGGTGTATAATATATATTTCAACCATTTACAGCGATTACTACAGTGACTTGGTGACTGGCCGTCGTCGTCGTCGTCGTTAATGTCACACGCGCTTTATACTTGTGAATTTGCAGCTCAAGTTATCAGGACACAAGAATGTCGAGTAAATATAATGTTATTCGCACAAAGCCAGCATAATCGGGTTTGAAAGTAATAATCCAACCCAACCCCCGCACGAGTTGGAAAAATTAATTTTTTTTTCGTCATGAATTTTTTAAGTGTGAGTGATTTGTGAAAATTTCCCACGAGCGCATTCAAGAAAACGTTTGGTGGGAGGTCTGGTGAAATTGCCCACGATACCCACTAGTGCAAAGAGCCGACTCTTCAGCATGCTTCTTGTACCAGAAAATTAGTGGCCGATTAGTGTGAATTTGGAAGTAGAGACTATAACAACTGCAGTATCAACTCCACATGACTATACATTTTTAACATTTCATTTTAAATACATTCACTATAGACAGGCATAATAATTTACCTTATATGGAAAAATCATAGCACATTTTGTCATCATTAATACATTTAATTTTTCCAAAGCGTACTTCGCTACTCCTGTGACCTTCACACTACCCCCGAGAACAGGGTTACTCGGGCGATATAATACATATTCATGTAGTATTAATATTTCAGATATTCAATAAATCTATGTAGGTACACATTGCTGAATCGTGTTAGGTTGTGTTAGTTTAAACGCAGGTCATAAGTTTCTGGGACCTGTAAAACTGTGAACAATTTATTTATCTCGGTTAGTATAATAAGAATTTATAGCCAATACCAACTAATTCTCCTCTGGACAGGAATAGGTTTAAATATCGATAGACACTATTGGTTTGAAAGATCGACGGAGCTGATGCGTTGCAGTATCCTTCCTTGGTATCTACTAAAATATCATCTGATATTGGGTCTACTTTATCACTCATACAATATTAATAGAACGGACGTTATAAAAGAGCGTACATTCAGTACGAAAATAAAATAATATTAGTCTATGCTCGTGTGGATCTATACCTACACTATATATATAATGGTTATAAATCATCTATTCACCGACCGACCGACATAACTGGTGCCAAAACTGAAACGATAGAAACGCTCTGGAGACACGTCAAAACTAAGTAGTATAATAACATTATAACACGCGGAGCAACTAACATAATATTAGAATCCCAACTATATAGGAAGAGTGCGGTGGCAGTGTTCAACCGTCTACAGAAGATTTATTTGAATCATTCCTCAGAGATATAGGACATGAACGTTACATAATATAAGTCCTGCAGGCACTTTCACACTAGTCAATGAAAAAATTGTCAAAGAAGAAATATTGAATAATCATAATGGTAAGGTAATTTTAATTTTGCAGAAGACTTATTACTGTCTAAGGCCAACATACAACTAAAAGGTGATTACAATAGCATATTGGACTATAAATTATTATGCCACTGTATGTATGTATTATTAGAAGTATGTTATATGTGTGATTTATTTTCAAAGTCGAATTTCTTCTTTATATGTAGGTATGTCTGTTTGTTTCCGAGTACATTGCAAATTTGCAACCCCTGCAAGGGGTTAAATTAAATATGAAATTTCTTGTCCCGTAATATTATTATTTGATTGTTGAAATAATATGACTATGTAATATTGATCTCATATGTCGAATATCAGTGTGAAGTTCGCAGTCCATCATCACGCGGACATATTGTTTCCAAACGTACTTTTTGCTGAAAGTTCACTGGCACCTATATACAACACTACACATATTATAAATTATATTAGCTACCTATATAAGATTGGATTATTTATTGACTGATAGGGTAGAATAAAAATCGACCTTAATAGCTTCTTCTGGAGACGACATTGCAATATTATCACAAGTCACTTCCCAAGTCGTGCAACGTGTATAAAAATCAACTCGTCTGTATATATGTAATATTATTATTTTAATATATTATTGTCTTGTGCAGGAACACTTTCGTTTCCAGCCCGCGGCGAACTATCTGCTGTGTATAACAACCGCGCGGTAGGTGTATATTATATTATGACGGGTAGAGTATATCACTGCTATATGACGATATAGATCACACATGGTAAGTGGTTATAGTGGTTATAATAAATTATCGTTTCTATATAGGACAAGCGCGGTGCCCCGGTCCGAACAAAAACAATAATTTGTCTTCGAGACGGTGCAGCTATCTCTGGTAAATTTATGCGCGCGCGAACTCTCCGCGCACGCACGATAATGATATATACTTATATGTACCTATATATATATATATATATATATATATATATAATATTATTATAATATATAATTTCATATCTTCGAGAATCGCGTGTGTGTATAAATTGCCGTACACACAAATATATATTATGTACTTTGATAACACCGCGGCGGGTACATAATATATAATATTATGGTACTCGGTTAAGTCAAACATCCGGTTATTATATATTGTATATACACTACACACACGCAAGTTAGCACGCGTTTGTGTGTGAGTGTGTGCGTGTGTGTGTGTACAGTTGCAGTGTGCGAAAACTTTAAATGATTAATGCGCAACCGTATATGTATACGCGATTATCGCCTCCGCCGCCGGTCGAATATATCGTGATTAGGACCCGGATTAATATATACAGTCGATTTGCATATAAATTATTGCCACCCCCCGAAAAATAAAAATGTTGCAACGAATTATAATAGCCGACTCTCAGATATAAAATTGTTACGTTGAGTTTTAACATATATAATATATATTAAAGGTGTCTAAGATTATTCTGTTTCAGAAATTTATGGTCACTCGACCCGTGTATAATAGGTGCTTACCTATATATATTATACATTATTATATAATTCCGAGTTTTGCGGGTTTTATAAATTGTATATTGTGTTAGGTGTATACTTGCTATAAATTATGAACGCAAAGAATTTATGTCATATTTTTCTTTAAAATTAAATACCTCAAATATATTACACCCGCAGAAGCGTAATGCCTTTTCAAGTACCTAAATTTAATACAGGTTATAACTTATAGCTGCATTTTTTTTTTTGTAAATAACAATTTAGAAATTTGCTATATAATATGAGCAATAGAAATAAGTAATACTAATTGGTGTATTATAATTTATAATGTATATGAATCGTTAAATTTGGAAAAGGGTCTTCCAACAATTTTCAAATTTTACTGGAGAATGAAAAAAACGTACTTCGCTTTTAACATTCAATAAAAAAATCTTATCAACATCAAACAATAACTCCGACCTATTATTTATGGAAATATACAAAAAAATGATTTTCAAAAAAGTTTAGAAGTCCCCTTTTAACATTTAGCGATTCATATAGGTATTATATCTACATATTTTTTTATATTTTATCCTTATTTTTGTGTTAAGATATATAATAATATATAAATCAATGGCT